GAATCTACAAAATCAATCATCAGCACATAAATCCATTCCGGGTGACATTACACTTATAAAAGTGGCATGACAACGATATTAAAATAAATGTTTGCTTTAGGCGTCTGCCTGCCTTTGATACTCATACAAGTTGCTGCGTGTATCAGTAGCTCATGCCTTTTTATTGCTATGTTGTATTCGATTAGAATAGACCACGATGTATTCATCCGTTCCCCATGGAAGAACATTGGGGGTGTTTCATATTTTCTCAATTATGAATGAAGCTGCCATAAGAATCCATGCTGCGGATTTTGGGAACATATGATTCCATTTATAGGATATTATGAAAAACCAAAACTGTAGGTACGGAGAACAGGTCAATAGCTTGCAGGCATGAGACGTAGCAGATTGTGTGCCTACAAAGAGTGGGCAGGGGGTGGTTTATCTTGGGGTGATGTAATTGCCCCACATCCTGATTGTGGTGGGAGGTACAGGAATCTACACATATGTTACAATTCAAAGAACAGTACTCAAAAACCACATTTTACTGTAGGATAATTTTTTATTTTTAATCAACAAATAATAATTGCATATATATATGGAATACAACATGACGCTTTGATATATGTGTACATTATAGGATGATTAAATCCAGCTGATTCATATATCCATCAACTTGCATAATTTTTTTGGGGGGTGAGAGCATTCAAAATCGACTCTGTTAGCAATTTCGAAACAGATATTACATAATTATTAAGTATAGTTACGCCGTGCAATGGATTTCAAAAACTTATTACTTTTGTCTAGCTAAAACTCTGTACCATTTTGCTAACATCTCTCCTTTAACTATACCTTCCCTGTCCTCCCAGCTTCTGGTAATCACCATTCTACTCTCCACTTCCATGAATTTAACTTTTTTTAGATTTCACATATATGTGAGATCATGTGATATTTGTCTTTCTGTGTCTGGCTTATTTCACTTAGTATGATGCCCTCCGTGTTTACCCATATTATGGCAAATGACAGAATTTCTTTCTTTTTAAAAGTTGACCATATTTTCCTTATTGACGCATTTGT